ACTGGTCATGTTGTTTGATGCCTGATTATTGTCTTCCAAAGCAACTACTCTTTTCTGAACTTAAAAACGGAAAGTGTAATGCTGGTGATCAACAAAAGAGGTTTAAAGACTCTCTCAAGGCAAATCTAAAAAAAAGTAGTATAAACACCAACAATTGGGAAACACTGGCTTGTGAGCACTCCAATTGTAGAACAACCTTTACCAAAGGTGTCATGGACTTTGAAGACACTCAAACTCAGGGAGAAACGTGCTAAGAAAAAGGCATGATTGGCAAACCCTCACCATGATCAACTCCCAACCGGAAACCTATGTCCCCTCTGTGGAAAGACATGTGGATCCAGAATTGGCCTCCACAGTCACGAACTCACTGTTAAACTCGTGTTAATGGAAGACAATCTTACTCGGCTACAAGTAATCGCCAAAGAAGAAGCTATACAGCCATGGAAACTGTACCAGGTAGTGCTATTAATACTGTGTTAGGACTCCACACACTACATAATAGCTTTGCCACTGCTGTTGAACACCTATCCTTAGCAAGAAATGCGGAGCAGTCTCCTGTCTGCTTAGCAAATCTTGCTGCGTTCCAACCAGTAGAGGCACTCATACCTAACCCTGTATTTTCCTGAGCATCTCATGGGATTGAGTGAAAATCAGACACACATGAAGTGGGTCTGCACATAGAGGAAGGAACAGGACTGTGCCTTACCCTCATGTCACTTGCCCAGCCTAAATCTGCCTGTGACATCCACCCATTGAGTATGGAAGTCTAATGAGGAATCCATACACATGCTCTCTTTGCTCTGCATATGTGTATTGAGTGAAGTGAGCCTGGTCATTTTATCTGCAGTGAGAAGTTCTGCTGCTAGTCATTTAATGGGTATAGCTAGGCTTGTAAAATTCTTAAGAATTAAGCTTTCCATTTTACAAAGCATATACTAGCAATGCTTATGTCACAGGATTTTTTTGTCACAGGACTAAGGAACATCTTGACTTCAGTACAGGTAGAATAAACAAAAGCCTTCATCTTTTCAGGTGGTAATAGCATGTTTAAAATCCGAAATGTGAAATGAGTGGATCATTTTCTGTAGGTCGTGCTCCTTCCCATAAGCCAAGCTGCTCTGCATTCTCAAGGGGAAAAGGAACAACCGAGTTGACTTCTCATTATTTCTTCCTATGGTGCGTTCTTATTGAATTATTGCCAGGTATTGCCAGCAGATGCTCATCAAGCCACTGCAGGGCTCCTCTGTTAATTGAACTATAATGGGTATGACAGCAGGGAAGGTCAAAAATGATAGGACCAGTGATGATATAACATGAACTCTGGTCTCCTACAAACTGAAGAGATAATTGCCCTTGCCAGGGTATGGTTCTGCAAAAGTTTTCTTTGGAGAATCTGCAGTGTTCCTCTTTGTGTGCCATAGTTATACTAGTCATCTTGGTAAGAACAAGGTCAACCTTGCACATGGGCCGGTAGCTTTTACTCTGAAACTACAGAAACGGTCATTGTAGAGGGTGAAAGGTAAAAGTGTTGCAAAAAGCAGTGGTCACGGGCTTGAATTTAAGGACAACCCAATTGTTTTCAAGGCTTGTTACCGTAAGTGAGCACAATACAACTATAGGATCTGTTTTCTCTTTGCAGTAGTAATTATTGAATTGTTTGAGAACAAGGCATGTTGTTGGTAAATAAGCGGTTCTTTTCAAGCAAGAATATTTAGCAAACAATAAACATGTTTAAAAGGATGGAGTTTTCCAGGAGTAGCCATTTTTATTTTTTATTTTGCTTACAAATGAAAGAATAATAATATGGGAGTATCTGGTAACAACTTGATTGCACATCTAAGCCATATGGTTACTCTGGGCAACAATATTTTGGGAACATATTTCTTTTTCAGAGATGGAAATCCCTAAAAAAGTAATGCTCTGTATAGGTGCTTTGTGTTACTGTTGTGAGACCTGATGATGCACCTGAATGTCCACGTTGGTCATGGATTGAGCATGGAATCATCAGTGGCCAGCTATATCCTGACAGATGGGCATTGCTCTGCTGCTAATATCCAATGGTTAAAGATGCGTGCCTCTTCCGAACCATCTTGATGCATTTTTTTGTTTAAGTACTAAACCACAGAGCCAACAACATGGGAGGCTGGCTTTTGGATGTGTGTGTGTGTGTGGTGGATTGATTTTTAAATCAAGGCACTTTAAATAATTGATATTGTCCTTTGGTCATGCAGCCCTCATACGCTGTCTTTATTTAGAGACCCAGAGACTGATTTCCACTTGACACTTTCTCTCTGCATGCAAGGATTCTAAGCAAGGATACATATTGAAAGCTAAGGCTCTAACGCTAAGCAGCAAAAAGTACTGTGGCATGTTAAAGACTAACAGATTGATGGTGGCATAAAGATTTCGTGGACTAGAGAGCTTACACGAAAGCTTATGTCACAGTAAATCTGTTTGTCTTTATGGTGCTGCAAGACACTGTTTCAGCAAAAACAACAAATACTTGGGATGCACACTTCCTATCCATGCTTCTAGAATTGTCTAGAAGCAACAGGGTTACTCGGCAAAGTAGTGTTCCTGAAAACAGAATGCAAATAGCCATGCTGTTTGGCTAACAGTCATAAAGATTCATAATTTGAGAACTAGACACACTGTGGAAGCACTGGCAGAGGAAGAGGCATGCGGGGGGAGCACACCGCGCCCGGCAGCGTGATCCCGGCCAGGTGCCATCTTGGCTGCCCCCCTGCCCGCACTGGGCACCACACCACTATGGGCGGCACACCACGCCCCCAGGACATGACCAGCCCCCCGGGACGCGTGCCAGCCCCGCCCCCGCCTGCTCTCTGCCCCCCCCCGGTGCCGGAGCATGAAGCTCCACCACTGTGTGGAAGTCGTTTTGAATTTGGTTTGCTGGGGACTCAAAGGTCAGAGTTTGCCAGCTCAGATAATGTGGCCATTTGTGGTTTGCCTTAAATGAAGAAGGGAAGCAAGACATTGTGATGCTTGCTGGAAGTTGGAAATGCTTGGCCAGAGGATCCTGTGAGGCGCGTTCATGTAACAGTGAACCATAGTCTGATATTACATCTGAAGCAGACCAATCTGTTGCTGAGCTTTAAGAGATTAGGCCACAATCATACGCTAAATACAAGCGTAAGATTTTATTTTAAACATGATTGTATTTTTATAGAAACACTGGTGATAATTAAATTGAAAAAAAACTTTTGTAATCTGCAAATTAATTTTTATATATTGCACATGTGTTTGTGTATGTGTGTATGCTTTTTATTTTACCCACTTATTAACCATTTACTTCCATTTCCCCATAATTTTAACTAGCATTTTATTTTCAGTGTTATTTTACTGCTTGTATTTTTTTTGCTAGTGTGACACACGATCACTTGTGTCGAGAGGTGGGGTACTCTCTAAACACGCAAAATAAATAATATTGCGAACAGTTTTATTGCTGCTACTCCCACTGTCTCCTTGTTACTCCCTGTTCTCTGCTCATTTGCATAGCAGGTACAAGGTGCAGAACAGTTTCACTTCCAGTGCTATTTAGGCATTATTTCTGAGCATTGTTTGTATCATATTTACGCTTCCCCAAATATTTTCACTTATGCGTGCTGCCTTTCAATTTTCTGTAGTCTAAGGAATCTGTCCCAATCTTTTGATTACAGTTTTATTATGTAAGTGCAGGCATATGGGCAGCGGTGTAATGTGATATATTTGCATACAGATGAAACAAGCCTGGCTTCACTTGCATCTTTTTGAATGACCTGCTCAATCTACACCATCAGGCAATATGGAAAAAACAATGCAGTGATTTCAGAAAGTATCCAAACTTGGGAGTCATTTCTTTGCATGTGCTGGAAGTACCTAATGATAGAATGGAGTATAAGAGTAATATCACTTCACAGAAGAGTTCTGTTCTATGATTATTTTAATTAAAAACCTTTTTGCTGATGGAAAGTTCATTCTCTGGTGTTTTCCTTAATGTATTCGTAATGCATCTGTTTGGACTCCCTTGCTAGAGATATCTTTCATTATAATCCACTTAACCGAGTTCATAATTAAACTTCTAAATGCAAAGCTTCCTTCATTAAATTTCCAGGTCGTACACTGAAAATCAAGGTTTGTGGTACTAAAGTAGGAAATGTGTGGGTTTCTTTTCTCTTCCTAATTATATCAACAGAATGAAAGATATATATTTATTACAACAGCCTTCACTCCTCTGTACATTGCAACCCTATATACCCGGAGACAAGGCTTCTTGTACTCCTTGGGGTTTTCTTCTGAAAGTAAATGTAGAGGATCACATTGTTAAAGAGTTCTTCATAACTCTGCCGGGGTGGTGTCAACTCATGATGTAAGGTGGGGGCACAATCTTACTAAAAACTAAAAGAAAAAGACTCAAAAACCTGCTTGCTAGATTTTAATGAGTCAGGTCTTTGACTGCAAAGCAATTTATCTCAACATTAAATGACCTCTCCACCCCACCCCTGCTATGGTATCTACCTAATACAATCCATTGCAGACACACATTGTGGAATGGTTGTTTTAAGGTTTTCTGTACACACTGATAGTTCTTGCATAATGAGGAATGATGCACAATGTGTTGGTATTCCTAGATGCTGGAATACAAGCCAGGGATGGATGTTGAACTACAGTTATTTGTGAGCAAATAGTATATATCTTTATCTATATCTATATATCTATATCTATCGTCTGAATATCTTCAAAGTTTGCTGCATCACTTCAGTATCTGGGCAAATGCACACTCCTACTCTCTACACAGTCAAAATGCCCTCTTAACTCCCTTGTCTTAGGTGAGCTCTTTGTACCCAAAAGGACTTCTATTTGTGATACAACATAAACTCGCAAGCATTTCCTACTAAACACAGGAAATTGCCTTATAGTAAGTCAGATCATTGCTCCACCTAGCTCTGGATTACCTACACTGACTGGCAGCAGGGCTCTGGGGTTTCAGGAAGGGACTGTCCCAGTCCTAGCTGGAGATGGAACCTAGGACCTTTTGCATGCAAAGTAGATGCTCTACCACTGATCCACAGGCCTTAGAAAAAGAGAAGCAATCTTTGCCTTTTCCCTTCTGATTTCCCCCCTTCCTGCAGCCCCTCAGCCCTTCACAAACCAGCCTCTTTTTGTTCTGTAACCAGTCTGCAGTTAAGGAATGTTAAGTGGAAATAATAATAATAATAATAATAATAATAATAATAAGTTGTTTCCATAGCACAGTTTCAACTTAAAATTTTCATTTATTCTTAATGATTTTCATCTGCAAAAGGGGTGAATCAATTGGCAGAATGCATGAAAGGAATTTGAAATGGCAGGGTATACTACCTGTTTGCATTTAAGTCATATATATCCCCTGCTGAATGCTGAATGGAAAATACATAAGCATTCCCTGCTTCATCAGCCATACTACTGCATGTGGAAGCTGAGATACACAGTAACTTAATTTTAATCTGAAAATTGGAGGCCCCCCTAATGCAATTTATTCATGGTGCCGTGGATTGGCATATGGTGTCTGTACATTTTTATTTTATCACCTTGACAAAAAATTTAGTGTGTCAGATTGTGTTATGGAAACCTTGCATGTGATTCTGATCTTGCTATTTTACTTTGGTGCAAATTATTGGAACCAAGTAGTTAACCTGGCATATGAGAGATGAGAATCTGGCTCAGCCTGGTCTAATTTATTCCTGTTTTCCCTGAATTGATATAACCTCTACATTCATGTCAGAGAAAGCGCCAGCCTGTTTTTGCTGCCTTTCTTAAGAAATTACAATATGCTGAGACTTAGAAGCAACAGCCTCATAATATACACAGATTTCCTTACAGCCATTGTCTTCTATGAACACAGTCTTAACAGTTTGTTCATAAGTGACTGTGAAGACCAATTCTGGATCCCCACGTCTTTCCACAGTGGGGACATAGGTTTCTGGGTGGTAGTTGATCATGGTGAGGGTTTGCCAAGCATGCCTTTCTCTTAGCACGTTTCTTCCTTTCGTCCCAAGTTCGAGCGTCTTCAAAGTCCATGACACCTTTGGTAAAGGTTGTTCTACAATTGGAGTGCTCACAAGCCAGTGTTTCCCAATTGTTGGTGTTTATACTACATTTTTTAGATTTACCTTGAGAGAATCATTGCTTCGACACTAGTGATCTTTGCTTCTTCCAGTGCACTGGCAGTAGTTCGCCTGTATTCCCAAGTGATGCGTAAAATTTTTTGGAGACATCATTTATGGAATATTTCGAGGAGTTGGAGATGGCGTTTATAAGTGGTCCATGTTTCACAAGCATACTGTAAGGTTGGAAGTGCTTTACAAAATGCTTTGTAAACAAGCATTTTGGTTTCCCAAACACTGCACTTCAATTGGGAGAAAGCTGCAGTCACCGAGCTCAGGCGATGCTGGATTTTGGCATCAATGTCGGCCCTTGTGGAAAGGTAACTGCCCGGGGATGAGAAGTGATCAACACTTTCCAGTGTTACACTATTGAGTTGGATTTGTGGCACTATTGCTTGTTGGAAGTTTACTCATAAGCCACCTCCACTGTGTTCAGTAGGCATACCAGTATTGTAGCATGAGTGTGGTTTTCAATAACATGCAGAAACGAGAACAAAGCAAAATACGAATGTTCTTACTGGATTTGGGTTCTGCAATAAAATCTGGGATTTGCAGTTTAGGAACCTGCTCAACTCAGGGAAGAACAGTTTAGTAGTATATTCATCTCCAGCAGGATCATGGGCACTGGGATACATTTTCACTTGCATCTGTCACCATCTGCAAGAAAAGGGAGAGGGTGACTAGGGCTAAGTATGGGCTGAGTCTGAATTGCAGTAAGGCTGGGGCTTAGACTGTAATTAGCCGGGAAATTCTGAATGGGTTAGTATCCCAAAGTTCTCAATGATCCATCCAATGATGTAGCCGCTTCAGGAGGTGCAGGAGAGATTTTAAATAATAGTAGCAATTATTTTCCTGCCCCAGCCCAGGCTCCGGACCCTAATTCAGGCTGAATGAGTGTTTACTGTTTTCATAGAGAAGCTCCATTGAATGGCTAAACTAACTTACGTTGCTGCTTCTTTTCCAGCAAGACCAGCTCTATAGCATCTAAATTATTGCCATTTGCTATTGGCTAAGCTATATACGTGAATGAAGTTAGATAAAAATGTCATTTCACTTCCATTTTCGGTAGCCTCTATCTGATAAATATAATTGCATACGTTTATCATGATAGAGACTGTTTCAGAGTAATTTAAATAAAACTATCTTTTTTAAAAAAAGTTTTTTTATATTTTGTACATCTACTTTGTGTGGTATTTTCAGGCTTATCTTTGCCTTATCTGCACACCATGTATTGTGTATAGTAATAATAGTTCATTTTATAAGGTTACAAATGTAATAGTTTGGAAATAAGCTTTTAATAACTGATAACTATAAAGAAAAGCACCAAAAATGATGCAACTAACCTTTTGTGGAACGGAACCTGTTCCTAATATTTGACTCTTCATATTATGAGATATGAAGCTTCACGCCACAAAACATGAGGGAAATGACCAGTAGCAAATGTAAAATGTTAGAATCTGAGATAAATGCCTGGCAGGCAGAATAAATGCATGGAATGGGAAAGGGAGTTCAATGTTTTATAAATTTGTTCTTGGTAACAAAGCAATTGGCTTTTGTTGATGCATTTATTTTGGTGTTTGAGATGCTACCATTTGTATTTCAGCTTTGTGAAACATCCTGCAAGTTGGCAGTATGCTTTCCTATTACAAATATGGGTCCTAACATACCGACATAGCAATCCTGTACTCTATAATTATTCTGTCACAGGGAGAGAAGATATGCTGCTATTCCCGCAGTGTTCCCCAACCTTGGGTCTCCAGCTGTTTTCGGACTGCAATTCCCATCATCCCTGACCACTGGTCTTGTTAGCAAGGGATGATGGGAGTTGTAGTCCAAAAACAGCTGGAGACCCAAGGTTGGGGAATACTATGGCCACTGTATCCCTATGCAAGATTATCCTCATAGTATTTTTTTAGTGTTGTACACTCCCTTGTTATCTTTTCTAGGCAAATATAAATAAAGCCAAACAACTGGTTTGCAGCTCATGAAACTCAATTTTTACATGGTTTAGGGATGGCACAAGACTACTGGAAGAGTCTTGTGCCTTTATCAGCTGTGTGGCAGGCAGAAATTAAACAGATTTAGCTATATCTTGTAAGGAAATGTAAATCTGGGGAAAGCTGCACTTGTTGACATTCTGTCTATCAAACATCACCCTGATATATTTTGGTCTCTCTGCCCCAAATTTACCTAACTTTGAGAATGGCACAAAGTATACACAGCTGTCATGTAAGTTTGTGTGTGTCCTCTTTTGTAGACGTGGTAGAGGGTCAAATGCACATGTAGTGTACTGGACCCAGAAAACCCTGTTAGCAACCTGGATCACTTCTGCTTTGCAGAGATCTTCATATTCTCCTCAAAATGTCACTGTAAGTGACATTTGATGCCACCTCGTATCCCAAGTCATATTAATTTTGCTATTGCAAAGTGGTATATTTCCACTAGAGGGGTGGATTATATTAAATACCCTAGTAAGGTAAATAAGAAATAATAGTATCAAACCTCAAAGGGCCTTTGCAGAAATTCTGTGAAAGTGGAGAGTGGCGGTGGCAAGCAGACAGGGAATAAGAATCTCTTCCATTTCTCCAGTCACTTCCTTGTTAAAACACTCTTTATTTGAAGGGAAAAGGGCTAACAGGGTCCAGTGATATATGTGCTTTTGTGTGTGTAATAAGTAGTTCAACCATGTAGTGTAAGACTTATTTCTGTATAAAATACCTTAGTGAAATATTAGGGCCCGCTTCAAGTTGGCTGTCACTTTTGCATAGGGGAAACCACATACATTTTCTGCTGTAGTGAGTGCCACCCATGTTTGTCTTGTTGTATATACAGCCAATCCCAGCTTCTTATCATATACAGTGGTACCTCGGGTTAAGTACTTAATTCGTTCCGGAGGTCCATTCTTAACCTGAAACTGTTCTTAACCTGAAGCACCACTTTAGCTAATGGGGCCTCCTGCTGCTGCCATGCCGCCGGAGCATGATTTTTGTTCTCATCCTGAAGCAAAGTTCTTAACCCGAGGTACCATTTCTGGGTTAGCGGAGTCTGTAACCTGAAGCGTCTTTAACCTGAGGTACCACTGTACATGTTTGTTTTTGACATGTAAGTGGCAATATGTGTATGAAAATATGAGACACCACTTAGAGGTGAATGTTCTTATGAACATAGTATTATACTGACCCATACCATAGGCTACAAGATTGCTACATTCCTTCATAAAATCTGTACAAGTGGCATATTTAAAGGGTTAGCTGATGACTCTGCTCCTCTTTAACTAACTCTTTCTCTATTTCCCACCTCCCTTCTCTTTATTTTAGGAATAGTGAAGTGATCTGGATTGAACTTCATGAAGTATGGTTCTAAGGGATAGCTGGCTTTGCGCTCACTGGGCATGGCAGAGCACAAGAAGGTGCTTGGTTGTGCTTGCTCTCTTATTATTACACACATCTGATTTGGAAGGCAGGAAATCGCATCCATTTGTCTGGAAAACAGGTAGGGATGCACATATTCTTTCTTACTGTGACTGGGATTCTGTGTGAGTTTAGGCCAGTGGTCCCCAAACGTTTATCTCCATGGTCCACTGGAAAATTGTTGCGGGTCTTGGAGGTCCACTTAATGATTTTACCTATCTGTTGTAGCAATTATAATGTACTGTATGTTTTTTAAATATCAAACATCTTAATTTTAGCTCCTCGTTAACTTTGGTGCTACTCCTTTCCTCCGCTTTCAAGTGCCTCTTCCTCTTGTCACTTCCAATTTGTCCTCTTCACCTTCCAGGTGACAATGCTCCTGCTGTTCTTCACAGGTGTGCAGCAGAGCACCTGAATGAAGCTTGTGGATCACGATTTGGGAATCCCTAACTTATTGAGCCAAACTGCCTTTTCAGAATATCAGGTGGTTCAAGCTCTTCAGAACATAGATGAAGTTGAC